AATGCCCCGACGCCCTAGGGTTAAATTTTAGTGTACTGCCAAAGAACCACACATTGGTTCATACACAACTTGTGGGTAGCATCCTTATAGATTTCGATGTTGCGCTGCACTCAAAAACCTCGAAAAACTCAACATTTACATAGAGAGTGTAAGTGATGCTTCGCTTTCTATAAAATAAAAAAAAAAACATATAGGTAACTAACTACAACTCTCTATTTCTATGTCAATTTTATATCGATTCCTCGTCTCTTGCTATCTCACGTCTAGGGCTTGTTGCTTTTACTTCAACCGCTAATCCATTCTAATGAATTCTCCACATTATCCGTTATATTTTGATATACTAACGACTTTTATGTTCTTTAAACGAATATGGGATACATTCTTTCATTTGGATCAAAATTGAACCGGACTGACAAATAATACGGTGTTTGCATATATTTTAATACACACAAGTCTTTATCATCGTCTTAAAAATAGAGCTTTATGAGTGATTAAAACGCGTCAATGTTACAAACATTTGTTAAGGCTCCGCTGGAAGAATCTCAGTGCCTTCAGCAAATGACTTTTAGTAGCTTCAATGGACTCTTGTAGCTTTGCCGGAAGCTGATTTTACAGTTTTGAAAACAGAAAAAAGTTTCAGGAAGTCAAGTTTGACTAAGCTATGACTCAGTACAAGTTTGGCCAAAGAGTCAGTCGCTATCAAGCTCTTTTGTCTCTGTGGAACGACATTGAAAGCATATTTGTGGGTTGTGGAATCTAAGTCGTTCGGACCGACAATGTGTGTTTTCGATGAGTTTTCACTGATAACTCACAAATTTATTTGTTTGTTTACATTTTCAGCAACAAGAATGGTAAGTTTTGGAGGCCTTAATGTTGGCCCGCGAAGAGCACTAATTTTGTCTTGCCACAAATGCTCTTGTAGGAGGGCACGATGACACAAAATGCAAAAATCCTATACCGAAATATGCAAGCACAAAAGAGCACCCATTGCAGAATCTAATGGTAGATGACGGCACGAAAATAGTCATGGGTTTTGGTCTGACATATTTTACAGCCATTGCAATGTTTTCAATGTATTTTCGTTTGACAGATTTTACATGGACGAAAACACAAGTTTTAGGGCGAAACCCAGTTTTTCCCACGAAAACATGTTTCCATTGTCGGTAAGAACATTGTATAAGCAAGACTTTGATTTTTGACAGACTTTGCTCATTTGTGGATGTCGAAAGCTACATTTTTAAGCAACTTTTTGCGGCAAAGATTCAGGTATTTTGATACGAGTCTAGTAAAATATTGAGATCCTCTGCTCTCTGGTATGTCAACATGACGACTTTCAGCAACTGTTTTTTTTTTTAACTTTTTCAAGATAAAGTAGACTTCCCAAATAACTTCTACAACGATTCCGTAGTCTTGTTTTTTTTTTTATTATTATAGTAAAAATCCTTTTGATAAGCACAGAACTATTGCCAAGCTTAATACGAACCTAAAATAGAGTGCCACCAATTAAGAAAATAAAATTTTGTAACAATTCTGCTTGCGGACAGATCCGAAAACAAATCCGAGTCAAATGTGGTCAGATGGTATGAAAAGAGTTCCGGCAGCTACTTTACTCATCAACTATCAATTATTAATGAAATGATGTAATTTGAAGAGTTTTTATTAGAGAGAAATTATTAAACATTTTGATAAGCCTAATAGCAGAGGATCCTCAGAGTTAATGTGATGGCAGTGAATTTATCTTAGAATATATTAAGGGGCGCTCTAAATGCAACCACTGTATATTTTAGATAATTTTGGTATATGGTAAGCAACTACTGGTCAGTTTGCTATATTTTTGATGGATCTGTGATGACAGTATGAGCCAGCTTGGAACTTCTTTGAATTCCATGGATGCGATATTTGAACTAACGCTATCAGCTAATTTAATTGTGTATAGAGTTTATTTAGTCAAAATCAAAATTTTTAAGGACTGAGATACTAATCACTTTAATATACGAATGAAATAAGGTTAATATCCGTAATGTTGCGTATTTATGAGGGCAATGAGGGCGTATATGATGGCAATGCAAGATTCGTGAGGAATTCCTTGCAACAACAGTCGCTTAAGCCGGTTTCAACTCTTCCGTAGGACCAACCATTTTTTCATAATTTACAAAATGCACGCTAACTTTCAAAAGGTGATAACTCAAAATTATATACTTAATAATTTAAATGTATGTGATTTTAATGGCAATAATGCGGTATTTAACGTACATATGTACATATGTATAAAGTAATGCGGACGAACAAAGGCTTCAAACACAAATTACGTTGATTGTGCATTCTCTGTATGTATGTTTGTATAACCCTGCCAGTGTCTACATGCATATGTGTAAGATCGTAATTAATGCGCGCGATTAATTTGCTTTATTCGACAAGTTCATTGACATTAATTTTGCAGCAGTACTTAAGTAGAACAGCCGATAATAGCATCCCAGGAAGCATATTCTCGAATATATTTTGCTCAGGCATACACACATTCGTACGAATGTAGTAAGTTTTCGCCAATGACCGCCGACCCACCCGAGTGAGGAAACCTTAAAAATATCCGCAAAATGGATTGGCGAATCTCGCGCATCAACAGCTGCGCGATTAAGCAAAGCGATTATGAAATGCATTTGAATTGTGTCTCGCCTGCTTCTTCTTCGCTTCGGTAATTTAAGGAAACGAAAGCTGGCCACCACGAACAAAGAACGTCCTGCTGCCGCAAAAACCACACTCAAATGAAAAAAATGCAATTGAAATGTAATTGTGATTCAGCGCATGTGCAAATTAGCGGCTAAGTCACTCTCGCACATAATTTGCTCCTTGCAACGAGCAAAGGCGAATTGCTTCGAATTTAAAAATAACTACTCTAGCTCAATACAAGACTATGTTTGCCTGCGCTTGTAGATCGGTAATCAGCCCGAGCTGGTTGGGTTTGCCAGTCTGTGAGGGAAAAGTAAAAGTTGGCCTCGCTCTACATACATACATACATATGTAGCTGTGCTAATGCGCATATGTAGCGGTATGCATTTGTGGATTTTCCTCCATTAAAACTGAAGTTGCTCCAAATGTCAACTGTCAAATTTCCATTTTCACTCACGGCCTCATGCCGTTCCACAGCGAACTGGCCCCACAAGCATTGCCATGAGTGAGCATACGCGCTTCAAATTGTAACTGCTTTACAACTGCGCTAATCCAGAGAATGTATAAACATAGAGAAGGTGCAAATTGAATTCTTTTACAAATTTTTTTACAAAATCGGAAAAAATTAGGTAAAAATAATTTTAAATTTTTTCTCTTTAATTTTATTTTTTTAATTTTTAAATAAATTAATATCCCAAACAAGTTATATTTATTTCCACTCTTAGAGCGTGAAGGTGCGCCAAATGAACTTTATTTCTTCGAAGAAAATTGATGACCTTCATGAAATATGCATATTCGCATTATTTCATTATCATTTCCATGTTTGTAGCAATAGAATTTCTATGGCATACATATGTATACATATATTATTTCTTTGGCACATTTGTCTGTATATCCAGAGAACTTAAAACATAGAGAAGGTGCAAATCGAAATCTGTATGATGTTCGATTGGACGGCTAACAGAACTTATAAGATTGTGATAGGGAATTCACCATTCTCGCTGCTATTTAGCAGAATTGAGCACGTTCTCTCAGAGAACTTAAAACATAGAGAAGGTGCAAATTGAATTATATGAACTATTGTCACATATGCGTGATTATTTCGTATGAAATGAACCATTCTTTTCCGAAAAATGGAAAAATATTTTATTTTTTTACCAAATCTGCAAAAATTTGGGAAGATTATTTTAATTTTATTTCTCTTTAACTTTATTTTTAAATAAATTAATATTTCAAATAAATTATATCGGCTATTACAAAGTGAAGATATGTCAAATGAACTTCATTTCTTCAAAGAAAATTGATGACCTTCATGAAATATGCATATTATGTTTTAAGTTCTCTGATCGAACCTGCACCTTCTCTATGTTTTAAGTTCTCTGCTCTAGCTAAGATAAGAATAAATAGAAAATGCCTCTAGAGGTCGCTCGGATAGTTTGGACAAGTTCGGAACTACTTAAAACAGCATATCTAATTGCATTAGCAGCACCATCTGCTGACAGATAGCCACTGACAGCAGATTACGTAAAACAGAGAACGTTTATCTGGCGAACGTCAAACAGAGAACGTATATTCTTCTTCTTATTCTTCTATAATGTGTGGAACACAATGCTCGCGACAGACTGCAGCAGCACGACAGTGAACTGAAAACAGCGTTGTGAATCCTACTACAAGAACGTTTGTGAGAGGGCAGCAACACAACAATGGCCGGCATGTACACAAGACAACACAGCTGTCCATTTTGCATGTACACAATTTCGTTGTGGCCATACTAATACCTTGCACTTCAATGAAATTTTCATATTTTGTTCAAAGTGAAATTTTTTATGCAAAGAATAAGTAAATACGTAAATTTATTTGTTTTAAATTATCAATTGTTATTATAAATGATGTAACAGAGCTATTTTATGCTTTCATTTGTAAAATAACGTCAGGTTTGTTTGAGCTTTGAATAATTTTACATTTTACATATTAGTGGCATCACCACTCTACCTCATCTTACTATCTTCCATTCTACTATCAACTCTACTGTCGTCCTACTGCCGTTGGCAAATATAGAATAAAATTGAAGTTAGCGAGAACGACAACTGTCGGCCTGCAGTTGTGTAGTCGTGCAGCTATCAAAATAGGTCCGTCGATAAGAACGTGTGTATTTTAATATTTGACAGATGTCGTTTGCAGTCTGTCGCGAGCATTGTATTCAACACATAATATGCTTGACATTCTCCGTCTCTGCTTGACATTCTCCGTCTGCTGTCGGAATTCTCCCTTTCGTACTTTAGCATTTCTCCTTCATTCTTTGTGTAGATTTTATTCTAATTTTGCAGTGCAAAATCACTTTTCGGTTCTTGCGGAGGTAGTAGTGAAAATAGCGTAATTTTTGTGCTAATTTGTAAAAACAAATACATAGAAACCTTGCAATGTTGCGAAAACTTTGTCCAATCTTTGAGAAATAGAAATACCGGTTTAAACGGCAAATGTTCTGAAGTTTCTGCATTTTACGCCGAAAATATGCAAACTACAAAAGGTTGTGAAAAGATTTCCTAAAAAACCAGCAACAACAAAAAGCTTAACGAAAAAGATGTGTAGTGCATTGGGCAGCAGTGTATAGTGAAATATTTGGCAGAATTGCATTAAGTGCTTAAATGAACAGAAACGATATGTTGAAGTGAAATAAAAATTGCTGCAAATTGTGAAATTGCTTGCGGAAAAATGTGTCCAAATATCTATTAGGCCACCAACTTCAAGGCTTATTTTGCGCAAATATTGTATCTAATTAGAACAGTGAAAGAAATATCAAAAGTTTAACGATAGACAATGGCAAAACAATGACGCTGACAGCGCAGTAGCGTCGAGTAGGAAAAGACGTGAAGGCGGAACTGTGGCAGCGCGGTGAAGCAGCTGATTTTCGTTGTTGTTCCGGTGGTGGCAGCTGCGCCAACTGCGACAGCACTTACAATTTACAAAAACAAAAAAGTGAGTTTAGTGAAAAACACAACAAAAATAGAAATAACAAAAAGACATTTATTTACTATTCCATCAAATGTTGTTGGGAAAGCGTTTCTTATCACAATTTATCAAAAATATGTTCATAAATATTGTGGCGCAACATTTTCAAACATTGCACCTACACCTATTTAAAGCAATGCCTTGATATTAAATAATTTGTTTGTTTGTTTTTCTTTGCTAGTGTTTTCGTTGTTTTTCTACAGCTTTGAGTAGCATTTGCATTGAAAGTGAGTAAAACAAAAAAAATATGTGTTATTACAGTGATGTACGGTATTAAAGCATAGTTGTGCGAAAAGTATTGTTGTCTCTTACACTGACCTAAAAAAATAATGTAAATAATACATTTATCAAATGTGGCTCTTTAGTTGTTATAATACAAAAATTTTGGTTTAAATCTTCATATCGTCACCTGAAATGCAAAATAACGTAACATCATTTTCGGAAATTTACTGTGGCATGAATGAAACACGGGCACAATTCCGATTTCTTTGGCGCCGCGATTGGAAGGTACCGTTGGAAAGAGGACGTTCTCCTGATTAAAAATATGTAGGGTTATATTTTGGTACCGCAAACGCTTATTTTAGGAGATATTAACCCTTAAAGTTCAAAAATTCCCAAAATTCGAACATTTCGAGAAGCTATTTCACCACATTTAACACACTTTATTCACATTTTTCTCTTCTCATTAGTTAATTTTAACTATAAACTTTTAAATAAATCCACATTTTAAACTTTTAGCAGGTTTTTTACCTAAGAAATCTTTATTTTAAAAATTACATTTTACACTCGTAGTGAACACCATTTGTGTGCTGAAATTACGACGAAATGGAGGGCTGCCATGTGATAATAAGGAAATTCGCTGAAATTCCTTTTTTCCCAAAAATTTATGTTTTTTATTTAATTTAATAAACAAATAAGCAATATTATATTGTAATATTATATTATATATATTATCACCTAATATACAAAACAACGTATTATCAAAAATAAATGGAAATCGCTGACAGATATAATAACCAAAATTTAACCATTTTATAACGAAAACTCAAATTTTGTTTCAATATGAGTGCATGATAATCAAGAAAGATTACCATTTTAACCATTTTATAGCGAAAACTCAGTATATTTTTCTGGGAAAAAGAAAGGAGTACTAGGCGAAAGTACTTCAGTCACCCCGAGTATTCGCTCGACCTGGGTTATTTTTTAAGAGCGAAAGTATTTTTATATACCTCCGCCAAAGTTATCGAAATCGTGCTGAAACACGATATAAAATGGAACATGGGTGAAATAAAATTTTTATATTGGTTAAAACTGGTTTAAACATACGCAATTTGAAGTATTGAGCGTCATTAATAAGACACTCAATTTTGAATTTTTTGATGATACGTTATTTTGCATTCCAGGTGACGATATATACAAAAAATTACATATTGCATGAGCAAGTAAATGAAAATATAACAAAAATACTTACATTTCAGGAGGGGGATATAGAATAGCATCTGCCGATTTCGGGGTTAAAATGGGTATGCATGAATAAAGAAGATTAAACGCGAAAGAACTGAAGACGTCTCGAAATTGGTCTGTTCAGGGTTATTGTTAGAAGCTCGAGAAAATCTCCGAATAAAACTAATATTGTGTTATTTTTTTCCTGCCATTAGGGTATTATTTATTTTCTGTATTCCTTTTAGTTCTTTTGTAAAATATATAGATAAGGTAACTGATTATATTTGTTAAAATATAATGTTAGTGTGCGAACAAAAATAATTCAACAAAAGCTAAATATTGGGTACACATTATTTTTATACAATGTAATATAACATACATACATGATTAGAAACGATTTGGTGTAAGTGTAAAAATCATTTAAAACGTACCTTATATAGTTAAATTTTTTAACTTAAATACAATATATACATATATTTTTTCTTTTTTAATCTATCCGTACCCCTTTTAACCCCCAAGCTGGGGCACTGATTTTCTAAAAATCACACCAATTCATGAGACAAAAAATCGTTTATAATAAATCTCAAAGTTCTCATTATTTACGCGCTACTGTATACCTAAAGTTAGTCATAGTTTTAATTGTGAGATCATTCGATGACCCAGCCAAACTTCTGTCGTACTCCTTTTAGCCACATAGGTAAAATAAAACAAAAGTGAAAATGAAAATGAAGTGTACTATGTACACAGTCGTCACATGCTCTCCAGTAATAATATCAAAAAACCGAACTTTTCATTTAACACTATTCTTCGGTTTTTTTTTTTTTTTTTTTAAGTTTACAATAAATAATTTCTATGGGTGTAAAATAAAAATATTCTTAAATAAATGTACCCATATTTTTTAGTACTCGCGAAACACTTATTTTACTGAGTTTTAGCCATTTGCTATTTAAAAGAAAAAAAGTTTTTTTTTTTGTGCAAACTTTTTGTACCTATAAAATCGCGGACTCATTTTAAAAAATATGGGATTTCCTTAATCCATATCCTGGAAGACCTCCGAAAAAGATGTTTAGCAGTGAGGAAGTTTTTTTATGCTTAAAATTATCTCAAAGTCTAAACTAGAACAAACAATACAATAAATGAATACAAGTAATGATCGAAGAATTAGTCAACATTGTGATATTTGGCGTTTTCCGAAAAAGGTATTTTTTTGAAAACATTAAAAATCCAAGTTGTTCTCAAAATTCTTATAATTTCCGAACATTACCAGACATATTTTTGAAATTCATAAGTTGATACAACCCCTTAACATTTAGTGAAAAAATGTTCGCCAAAAATTTTAATAAGAAATCAAATCCGAAATACCAAACAAATATTTCCAAAGAAAATGTGTATATTTTTTACCGACACTGATTGAACACGAAACATTTGAAAACACAAACGTATCACACATGTCATGACTTAGCTTTTTATATAATTTTGCTTCACGTTAAATTATAATATACAAGTCACGGATTATAACTTAAACAAAAATTACCGAAAATAATAATGAAATAATTTTTAACATTTGCAGGTCCCATTAACTGTCAATCAATGTTAAATACTTACAAATACCAAAAAGCGAAATTGAATATTAAGGGCATGGCATTTATTATTATTGGTTTATGTTCACAAGTGTTTCACTTCAACATATCGGAAACGAAGCACAAAAAGTACGAGTCTATTAAAATTGTCATCTGTATGTACTATATTTGCCACTTGCTAGACGCATTTTCACGCCTCACAATTAATGCCGTTCAAAGTAATTAAAACTACATATCATATACTGCAATACCGTTACACATGCAGCCATATATCGGCATGTCCCAGCGTAAATATTTCCAACCTTTATCGCATCAGGCGTTAAATACCAATGGTTTTATATTTGCGTAGACAATATGCAAAGTGAATCCTTTGTGGAAGAGGCAAGGACTAGTATACGTCTTCCACCATCATTGGTTAGACCTTGCTACTTGAATGATTACGAGTAAATGCAGTAAACTGTACGAATTCATGGTGAGGGAAATACTGGTTGGTGTTGGTGGCGTTTGTCAATGCCATTGTTGGGTACAAACTGATAGGAAGTTAACTTGGCTACCCAGTTAGCGCTGAGAGAATGAAAAAACATAAAAATTTTATATCTATAACTGCCTTCGATTCGCCATTCCCTGTTTACCATCCTTGCGTTCCGCTCTCTTCTAGAGTTTTACTTGTAAAATCAAAAACACTGCTAACAAATTGATTTCCATACAAAAGAGTAAGCGATTAATGTGCTCAACCCTTATCTTCAATCCTACTAAATTTAGTTTTTCATCTTCTGCAACTTCATAATATAAAAAATTAAAATGTTTATGCCACCATCAGGGTATATTAAGTTTTCCATGAAGTTTGTAATACATAGAAGAAATAGGAGGAGACATTATAAAATATACATAGTATATACAAATGAACATCTGTCGGTATTGTCTGCGATCAAGTCTATCAATTTTAGAGAGATCTTCTCACCAAGAAGCTGCTCATTTGCAGGAGCCTCAGATTTCGGTCCACTATAGCACATAGCTGCTATACAAACAGAACGATCGGAATCAACTGCTTGTAAGAAAAGTTTTTCATTTTGCGAGATATTACGAAATTTGCCAAAGATTATTATCTTCTGTACAACCGGCGTCAATATTTCTTCTTGTTTTTAAATTTTTTATGTAAAATTTTAACCTTAAATAGGTATGATGAAAGAGATTTATTATTATTATTTATTTTATTTATTTATTTACACCTTCGGCTACTGATAAAAAATTTCCAAACAAATCTTTCGAATTTCGAAAAATATCAGACAAAATAGTCAGCAACTTTCTTTTAAATGGATTAAAAAAATCGCTAAACACATTTATCGAATTCTAAGAAATCTCAAAATTAATTAAATTATGGATAAAATATAATCGTACAGATTCCTGAAATTTCCAAAAATACCAGGAGCAATAAAATTAACAATATTTCATTAAATTATCGATACAAATCTATAAACACTTAAATGGAATTTCAAAAATTCAAAACCGGTTAAATAACCGATAAACCTTAAATTAAAACAAGTCTGTATAATTTCCTAAGATCTCCTAAATAGACTCAAAACCGACACATCACATTTCGAAAGAGGTCCATAATCTGACAGTAAATTTATCGATAAATAAATCTACCGTCTTTCTAAAGTAGTAGTATAAGCAGTGAATAACCATCTTTGAAATTATTGATACACAATTTATAGCACTTCATAAGAAGCGGCTAATTAGCCGTTACTACAGCTACATTCCATCATACATATGTATATCCTTACGGAAGACTTCTACTTAATATTTCATGTTTCGTGGTACTTGCTTCTGAATCACTTAAAGGCAAAAGCATTTACTGCGGAGCGCGTTGGGTAACTGCCTTTGCATATTTGCTCTTTATATGCATTGCTATATGTACCGAGTGAGTACCAAAAGTGAGCGAGCGAGCGAATGGATGATTGCGCGTCGACCTTCAGAGGCGCTGCACGCGCCTTGTCAATGCACCCATTAATGGCTAAACACATCGCAGGCTAAAAGGCACTAATATTACTACACGACACACATAAATATGCAAACAAAAGCAATGCAAAGCAGAAATGTTAGCAGCGCTCCAATAACGAGTAAAGACAACAAGCTTAGTGTCCATTTCACAGTGCAGCCAGCTAATGCAATACTAACAACAACATTTCTAAATGCCATGAATTGGAAAAGCCATTAAAAAGCACTAAAATATATATTATTTATTTTTTTCGTTACAGAGTGCACGCTAAAAGTTAAATTGCATCTAGTCAAAGACGGGAGTAGAGTATAAGTGTTAAACGGAAACGTGTACGAAGGTATCGCAAGGGAAGGGAGTGAATGCAAGAAATGAATTACATATGTGCATTTGTATATAAGGATGTGTAAATATATATATTTAAAGTTAGCGTCAAACACTCAATAATGACTTTACAAGCGTTTTCCACTTCGCACGCCAATTTGTCACCTTCGCTTTGCGTGCATTATATGCTCCAAACTTCGCGTATTACGCCAGAAAAGAGGATTACGACAATGCTATCATTTGCACCAATGCCTTATGCCTCTCGCCTGCAACGCCGGGGTTCGCGTGCTGCCGAAAAGTAAGACATTAAGGGAGGCGACGCAGTGGCGCGAGGCTCGGGAACATCCGCATAGCTCAGGTGAGTAGAGCCTTTTTATTTAAATATAAATTTAAATACTATTTTGGCGCCTTCTTCTCTCTTTTCAGCTGAAATCGCTGCGAATTCCTCCATTTCACGTACTTAAGCTTGTTTATTGTGCAATATTAATGAGCTGTTTGTGAATTACTATTAGTGGTGTTTTATGCTCGAAACCAAACATAATTATTTAGTGAAAATTATTCGCAAGCAAGAAAGCAACTATCGTCTTCAAGCGGCCATAATATTGGTGAGTCGATAATATATTTTTACTGTTATAATTAAATTCAGGCAAAATGGAACCTGAAAAGTATTCAAGATGTTTCGGAACGTACTTTAGTCGTGCGAGGATCAGTCGGGATTACAAAGCATTACTTTTTTATAACAACTTTCAGTTCTAAAGTATAATCCGTTAAATGAAAATTTCACATTCATGTGCATTTTCTCATCGTGAATCATTGATAAGGGAGATAACAGATGGGAATGAAAGAATCATCAGGCCCCGTTGAGTGCCAAGGAATATGTGTACCAAGTTTCGTCAAGATATATCCAGTTTTTCTTAAGTTAGGTATGTTAGGTAGTAAAGTCTACCAACAAGAACGACGTGTCGAGGTGTTTGCCTCATCTGAGAAAATAATCTTCGCGAAGAGCTCTTACGTTAGCCACAAGAGAACTTGAATTTGCGTAATAATCTTGAACAACTTCCAACCCTTACTGAGCCCACTGACAAAATTTTACTCAAATTCGTAAACAATGCCGGCTCGAGCTGTCAAAATCATGTCACTCCTATTGTCAAACTATGTAGTTGTAGGTGAACAAAACTATTATACTCTGCAGCAACATTTTGCGATAGTAAAAAAATCACTGGTTATCAATAGTCAATAAATTAAATAAATCAACAACAAAACATTTCAAAGAAAAAGTGCAGATTTATTCAGTTTAAAAAGCAGAAACAGTTAATGTACAAATCTACAAAGCGTTCTACAGACAAAGCTATTTCTTTTACACATTATTGACTTATATATTAAATATTCTTGCCTTATAACCACACTTCCTAAATAGTCTTGCTTTAGATGAAATTGTTGCTATTATAATATGTTGTAATTTTTTTTTTTTTGTTTTCAATATGAATTTTCAATTTAGTGTTTTTTATAATTTTTTTAAATTCAAATTTTTGATAATTTATTGTTATTTTTCGTTGATTTTTATAAATTTTGTAATTTTTATTTGTTTGAATTTGTTAAATATTTTTATAATTGTTTGTGGTTTTAATTTTGTTCGTAGATTTTTATAATTTTTTACGTAATTTTTTATTAATTTGCGTTGTAAACAATAACTTTAGCACTTTCACACTTACAATCCACGCCCATAGATTAATACTACACTGTGGCCCAGTTCATTTGCAATAGCGCATGTCCTTTCTTTTCGGTTGTTTTGGATGCCGAAATTCATCAGCATAAGTCGTGTCATCCGAGCGATACAATTTGGCTTGATTTCGTATTTGCGTTAACCAATGTCGCAAGCCGAAGTTCGTCTCATTGCCATAACTTTGCAGCAAGTTCTCTTTCCGCAGCCCCTTCCCCGGCCGATTTGTGATCTTGGACCAATTGTCTTGCGGCGGCTGCAGTCTGTACTTGATATCATTGAGCGTTGTGTAATTGGATAAATATTTCTCAGAGTCCATTATCAGCACACTACTATCCTTGCCTTTGTGCACATTAATCTTATAGCGCGCTCTTTGCTGCTCGAAAGAGGGTGCGTCTGGGCGAGATATTTCATTTGGATGTGCGTAGTGTACCTGATAACTGGACTGATCGGTCGATGTCGCTTCTGTGGGGCTAGGCAAAGTGTTGACTGGATTATACTTCTTTACTTCGTTGTTTATGCGGTCATTGTACCAATTGCCGATTAGTGTACAGGAACTATAAGCTTTATTGGATTTTATAAAGGATAATCTGGAAGCAGCATCCACCGGTGCTATTGCCGAACATATTACGCCAACCATGTTGCTCGTTTGTTCTTGCTATGGTTTTGCCAAATAGTACTTTTTAAATCAATTCCGCGAGAAATTAAAAAAAAAATTGAAAATGAGAAATTATTTTTTCAAACGAATACCAAAATTGATTTTCAGAAACTGAAAAGTTATGGCAAGAAAGGCGGAAATAGTATGTCAAACATAATTCGATAGACTCGTAAGTCGAGGGTGTTGTAATAGATTATATTAAGGAAGAAGTTTGAGTAGTTTAAGAGAAAAAGTATAGTCTTTTATATCAAATATTTGTAAACTGGGTAGCGAGAGCGGGGAATGTTTAGTATCGCGCCGGTTAAGTATCGTTTATGGAGAAAAACAGGGTCGGGCTATCCCCCCTCCCGACCCCTTATTGGAAAGAGGAAGGATCGAACTTTTTAATAAACCCCCCTCGACCCCCTAGATCCCCTATGGACCTATAGGGAGGCCTTTGAAAATGACCAAAAATCAGTGTTTTTGCTCATTTTTCCATACAAACTGAAACCAATGCAACCCAGCCAACATTTTTGTATGGACAAGAAATCAAAATAAAGAAAGCCAAAATGTTTCAGTGCAATGTATATACGTATATAATTGCATCTATCCTTCGGCCGCGCTTTAAAAAAATAACCTTGGCCGGTCCAACACCGGCTACGCCATCCACAGTATTTTAGCATTGAACACCTTTTCCTCCACAGTATCTTAGCATTTCATTCCTTTCCGTACTAGCGGCCCTCGGCCGCGCTTTAAAAAAATAAAACCTGGTCGATCCAACACCGGGGTGTTCAGGGTTCTTCGCGCAGAACTCCTTTCTGTACTGGCGGCCTTCGGCCGCGCTTTAAAAAAATAACCCTGGCCGATCCAACACCGACTACGCAATCTACAGTATTTTAGTATTGAACACCTTTTCGCGTTCACTTCATACATTTATTGCTAAGTGGGTTTAATTTATTCCCTTTTGTTCGTGCTTTCTCGGTAATTTGACAGTTCAAATTAGGCAGTCATTTTGGTTTTCCGCATTATTGAACTCAATGCAGAAAAAGGTGTATTTTATTTAAAGATTTACAAAGAAATTAACAATCAAAAGTAATTAAAAACATTACTAGTGGTTTTTATAATTCATAAGTAATATATGTGCGTGAAAATGTATCCATAATTGGTTTGGTACCATGCACAACAGATGAAAATACACTAGCATATATTTAGAATTTTGCAAAAAGTAGCATTTTTTAAAGTGAATTTGTGGAAAAATTTGTGAACCGATTTTTATAAAATTTATTTTAAAACAAAGTTCGATAATTTAAGCATACATGCGTGTTTAAAATTTTCCATTTGGTTCTCTCATTTAGGTACGGTGAGCCAAAATTAACCGGCGCGATACTAAACACAAACCGCGAGAGCGCCTCAATGTATTGATTCGGTGTAGGAGAAAAATTTATAGAATTATTAGAACCAAAATCAGGGGCGCACACGAAAGGGGGGTCGGTTTTAGTATACCGTCCCAGGATTTCCGAAATAAAATGGGTATGGTCGGATAGAGGAGATTCTCCAGATCAAGAATATATATATAGTTATAACCGCAGGAAGTTTCGCGTTTAAAGTTGAAAATTCCACTATTTTAATTACATATTTTCTCGATATAAAATTAATTTTTCACTTTTATATCCACTAACACATCACTAATTCAGTTGTTCACTTTTATCATGAATTTGATCGGTCAGTTGTATGCTAGCTATAGTGGCCCAATATCGGCGGTTTCGGATAATATGAAACTTCTTGAGCAGAAATTAACGAGTGCGAAATTGCAGGTCCATATATCAAAAACTGAGAGACTTGTTCTCTAGATATTGAAATGCTGGTATGTAGTTTAAATAAAAAATTTTGTTCTGTTCTTCTTTATAATTCATTTGAAGACGACACCTACCCAGACCCTCGAAAGTCAAAAATACGCTCTTTACGAGCAATAACTCTGCTCCTCGATAAGACCTCAGGCGGCAATGTTGAGTACATGCGTACTTGTAATGTTCATCATACGCACATGTGCCCTTAGCAGTGAGTAAGTTTTGAAGCATCTTCTTTGCTAGGCAATTAATTAAGAAAAATAAATATTTCCTGCCATTATATGATTCATAATTTGTTTATTATGAATTCATGCACACAACCGTGTATAATTAATGGTATGGGACAGAAAGTGAGGCAATCGTTTGACCATCACTGTGTCTGGTGTTAGTAGCGTGACCATCTGATGACATTCTCTTACTAGGCACCAACAGAACGCTTTGATTAGCTGTCACGCTCACCTGTGTCGCAAATCCATCTCGTTGCGACGCTTTCGCTGACTAAGTAACCTGGCAATTTCAATGATCTTTATCGTATGTGAATATATGTGTGTCTGTGGGTCTACTTGTAAATTTGCAAAGGCTGCCTTGAGGGAACTTCGCTCAAATCTCTCTATTATTTTGACTGGTTCGATTCAATTTATTTCCCCTGTTTATTTTCCTCATTTACCCAACAATTTCGCATTATTAGCACATTCTTCACCCATTTTCATTTGGCTATTGTCCTAACGCCGTTTTGTGTGTTCACATTTTGCGTGGCTATTTTTACGCTAACCTGCTTCCAATTTCACTATACGAGATATTCACTTCTCGCTTGAGCTTAGGCGCTACTCGCTTGCGAACTTGCATCCCCGTAGGGAAATTAAGCACATCGGCTGTTTTGAATAGGCTGAAAATAGTTCCTTTGTCATCCTTGCCTTTCTGGGGAATAAATGTCTTCTTGTTTGCTGAATTTCACACAATTTTTTTCACGTATTTGTGTTAAATTTTAACCAAAAACTCAATAAACATCATTGAGCAAACCCGTATTCACCTGATTTAGCTCCATGTGACTTCTGGCTAATTATTCTTGTAACTCAAAGAACCGCTTCGGGCAAACCGTTTAAAGTTAATTGAAGAAAATAAAACAAATTCGACGCGAGAGCTGAAGGCCATCCCTATAAGAGCCTATAAAAAATGTTTTGACGATTGGAAGAAGCGTTGGAACATGTGCATCGCTTCAAATGGATGGATGCTTTGAAGGCGATAAAATAAATTTGTATGTGTAAAGTGTTTCTCAATGAAAGCTCTATAAAAGTTTGGATGTCTATGTTCCATACATAATGGCGTCGAATGTACATTCACAGGGGAAAAAAAGAATTTCATTGATGTCCTAAACCGGGTTTTGTTTTTGTAGTACTCTTATTGAAAAACCAGCTCTAAGGTTGAGGCCACTGATTCCGTATTTCGGTAGAAAATTTTTATAATTTCGACTCGTTGTTGGCTCGTATATCCTTCCATGATAAAATGGCAAACCATACTGAAGAGAAAAGTCAAAAGAGCCCTATTTGTGTACTTTTCTAGTGCCCTAAAGAAAAACCCTCTATATTCCGCGCGAATCGGAGCATTCTTAAGCAGAAGAAAAGTTGAATATATCCCTAAATTGGGTTTTAGAGTAAAACGTATTGATCTTGGTCAGTCAAATAAATAAACTGCAACGAAAATTTGTTATGAAACAAAATTTCGTGTTGATCGCCTTTATTGTCCTCGATGTGATACTTCGAAAAATTAAATCTAAAAAGTTCGTTAGAAATATTTATTGAGGAATCTTGCCATATGTTTGAATTTTTTTATTCAATGAAATAAATAAAACAGTGTGGGTGTCGTCGAATGAAAAAGTCTTCTATACAAGCAGATCGATCTCTCAAAAACTGAAGGACTAGTTCGCTGATGTACAGATATACTGACGGACGGGCATGGCTAAATTGACTCAGCTCGTTACGCTGAGCATTTATATATATACATACGTTATACGGTCTCCGACGTTTCCTCTGTTTTCCTTTCAGTATTTGAAATTCTGCCCATGCCCTGCAGGTGCTATTCCGCCACTTAATTTACAGTATGTTGACAATTCGCGTGCACACCACTTATCCACTCACCTATTTACGCCTGGTCATATGGATGCTGGCTGCTGATGGATACACACTACTTGGATTACTAAATGTTACCCGATTCGTATAATATTGTATATTATATTAATTTAGGTAGTTGCTGTTAGGGTTGCGGCCGCTGTTGATATGGGGAGCGTTCCGTCTCAGCGCTCTCGGCCCGGGGAAATATAGTTGCGATTGTGCGATAAGTTTACTTCGGTTTGCATTACTTTTGGCGTGTGGCCAAATACTAAAATCCAACAAAGCCAACAACAAGCCACAGCGCTTGGCTACATACACATGTACATATGTAAGCACAAGAAAGGCGACGATGCCACCAAGCAACGGGCGCGTTGGCAACGGTGATTGCATTGGGCAAAAGCTAAGCAATTCACAAAATCACAATGCTGTACAACAAGAATGATGCAAACAAACATATGCATCCGCACACATACACTCATACACTGATACGTACATAAACACCCACACGCATGTACAAAATGTCGACTTGTTTACACTAAAAGTAAAAATTGTTTCATTCTATTTGATCAAGTGGCTCAGTTTTATTGCCATTTTGGCTTCTGCTGCCTATTCTTTCGCTCGCCTGACACGCCGTGGAACGCACACACAGTTATACGAGTGTACGTATGTGTGCATGTATTTAGTGCCCACAAAGAGCGGCAAGTTGCTGCGGCAGCGCGGAAAATTAAGAAAATAGAAAATCTTGAAGAGAAAAAAGATGAAATACAATAAAAAATATAAATTAAATTCGAAAAATTATTTCAAAGTGAGTGGTTATTTTGTAAATATTTCGAATTTTTTCAAATCATTTGTGGTTTTTGTGCGCGCCGCTATTTCGAGAATTTCTTTTTACAAGCGATCGACCGTAGATGAGCACACACACATTCACGTTCGGCGACGTCATCGAATATTACTTTTGCTTTGTGCTCTCCGAAGCTTTATTGTGTGCTTCATGCAGGGCGCAGCGCTGGCGGGCGCAAGCAAAGCGGAATTGATAAGCCATTTTCGAGAGCAAAATCATATAAAATTTGGCTGCTGTGTAACTGCTGCTGCTGCCGCTGTTGCTGCGGTTGCAAGCACATTGGCGCATGCAATTTGTAATTTCAAATATGATGAGTCTACTCAGGCGGTTTTGTCGGTGTGAGTGTGTGTGTTTAGGAAAACACGAAAATCCAATCCCATTCACTTTGCTCTGGCATAGTTTTGCGAAAACGTGTGCCATGTCAGTTTTTTGAGTGAATCTACGACACATGCACACAAACACATACATTTTTGCATATGATGGGTTAATCAATTGCAAATGCAATATTTTATTTTTCTGCCGAAATTTCAGATGACATGACTGTGAAAAATATTTCACGTAGTTGCTGCCGTAAATTACATCATTGTGCTCTGTGTAAATTTTCTCACAATTTAGTCTTAAAAATATTAATCTAAATGGGTATTGGAAGTACTAAACGCACGAACACATTTCTATATTAAAAAAAGATGAGTTTTGATGATTTTTGGCCTAATCTTCTCAACTAAACAACATGGTCGTATGAATAAAATTCTTATTATATCCTAAACAGGGTAAATAAGTTTACCACGAAGTTCGTAACACTTAGAAGGAAACGTCGGAGACCCCTTAAAATATATACTCAACTTAGCCATATTCGTCGTTCTGTCCGTCTTTTGTATACAATCGACCTATTCCCTCAGATTTTGAGATATCGTTCTTTTTCACACGTCCCTTTCCCTCCGCAAGAAGCTGCTTAGTTCTCGAAGCCGGCGATATCGGGCCACTATAGCATATAGCTGCCATACGAACTGAACGATCGGAATCAAGTGCTTGTATGGAAAACTATTTCATTTGATGAGATATCTTCACCAAATTCGATAGGCTTTATTGTTTAACGCAATGATGCAATCTCCGAAGAAATTGTTCACATAGTCTCTCGATGCATATAGTTGCCATATAAACTGACCGATCGACGTTCTTGTAAATACTATTTTGAATTTTGTATAGCTTCAGTGCAACCGTAGGTAACATTTAATCCCGCTTGTTTTTAAATTTTTCAGAAAAATTATTTTTTTACTTCTTGCTTCTCCATACATTTCGGAAATCTACTGTATTTATAATATCGTTTTTAATTATAAAATATCCTTACATTATCAGAACTTTAACTCAAATTTACAACTTTTTCTGAATAACTGTAAAGATTATTTGTACGTATACATATGTATGTATGTATACTTTATGATTGTGTGCAAGGCTTTCAGTCAAAACGGGTTCTCCATCAATTTTACTCGCATTACTGCTGATGGTGGCGGCTGTTATTGATTTGATGTAATCTTACTTCAATTAAAACTCACATGCTGTACATGCATACGTACATATACACACATGATAAACTCGTGAACATGACTATTATATCCTTAGAGGTTTGAGTTTTTACAGTTATGGTGAAAAAATTTGCTACTGAATGTGCATTTGATTACTCAAAATATTATGGTTTTTTAATTTATTGCAATATATTTTATATATTTTACCAACTATTTAGCATTCCATTCATACTTCGAAGATACCTTCCATTTTAAAAGACATACCCACAAAACTAGCTCTGCATTGACCGTTCATTGTGACTGTTCCTACTAACTCAACTGCATTTTATTGAGGTTTTGAAGTTCGGTATTATGGGTATCAATATTATATCATCGATATTTCTGTTTCGAAAATAAGTTCTGGGTTGTAGCCACATGACTAGCATAATTCAGATCAGTTAGCGTCGGAATTATAGTTTGAAATTTTAATATATGAGTGTTCTTTTGTAAATCTAAAATACCAAGATTTTTCATTTTATGGAAAAATATAAATTCTTAAAATAATTCGAAATTTTATTATTTTCTTTTCGAATGTATCCGGAATTTTTTGTGAAGACTTTCGACGTAATTTTTGTAGATAATGTTAGATATAAATATGGAATACATCTACAATATACTATATTCGGTACATTTATTTGACAACTACTTAATTTTCATGCTTTAATGAGCCTCCTGCCAAAGAGACGTTAAAAATGAAGTAATAATTTAACACTCACTTAGAAATTAGAAACGACTTCTTTAACATTGAATTTTCTTTAATAACCGGCAGATTTTAGTTGAATATAAAAAAGTATTTGAAACAAAAAGTTTTTTCAAGCTTTTATGAACTGTCCTCATTTGTTTTGCTACTCTAAAAAAATAAATGTTTCAAACAGTACTACTTACCTGCACGCTACCGTAATCGCGCGTTCTTCCCACTCACCCGCTATCGGCCTAAACGCGCACAGCTTATTTCAGACTCATGTGTTGAATACAATGCTAGCGACAGACGACATCAAAACGACATCTGTCAAATATTAAAATACACACGTTCTCATGGACACAGTTATTTTGACAGCTGCACGACTACACGACTGCAGGCCGACAGTTGTCGCTCTCGCTAACTTCAATTTAATCCTATATTTGCCAGTTGAAGATGGAAGATAGAGAGATGAGGTAGAGTGGTGATGCCACTAATATGCAAAATGTAAAATTACTCAAAGCTCTAACAAACCTGACGTTATTTTACAAATGAAAGCATAAAATAGCTCTGTTACATCATTTATAATAACAATTGATAATTTAAAACAAATAAATTTACGTATTTACTTATTTTTTGCATAAAACATTTCACTTTTAATAAAATATGAAAATTTCATTGAAGTGTAAGGTATTAGTATGGCAACTGCGTTGTTTTGTGTACATGCCGGCCATTGTTATGTTGCTGCCCTCTCACAACTGTTCATGTGGAAGAATTCACAACGCCATTTTCAGCTCACTGTCGTGCTGCTGCAGTCTGTCGCGAGCATTGTGTTCCGCACATCACATCCATAGTTGTTTCTTTTTGTTGTGTGTGTGTGCCAAATGCACTGCTGTCAAGTCATGTGGGCTAGTTACGTAAATAGTTTAATTGGAGCATGTGTATATGCCAACATCCAACTGTACACATTGGTATGTAAATCGGCTTAGTACATAGAAGCTTATGGATATACATACACAAGCGCTTGTCGGCTGCCAGGGCTGTAATTAAACCCACACATATGTATGTGTGTATATAAAAATATAAAATTTTTAAAATATAAAAAGAATTTTGTCAGTTCAGGAAAACTGAAAATATCACATAAAATATATAGAAAACTCCATCACTCACTCATGATTTTTACTATCTCGCACATTTATGCACTTGCACTCCGTTCACCGTTACGCTGGCAACGCTCTACTACTCCACTGCACTGTATCCCAACCGCCAAGTCGTATTTCATTGCATTTGCGGCGGCACAATTACACTTTCCTCGCCCATTATCGCAATTACGTGTAATGCATCACAAAGCACCAGACAAGGGCACATCCCCAAACTCACGCTTACATACATACTGACGCATACAGACGCGCAACTCCCGTCCAGCTGTGGAGCTGCAGCGCAACATGTAACCATCAGCAGCATACTCACAGACACACACACGCAAATTGCTTAAATCCGAGCTTTTCTCGCAACACTCGGCAGCCAGCAGCCGGCAGCCAGTCAGCAGCAGCGCCTCGCCCTTAAAAGGATACTACTTACTTGTACTTACAGTTACATTGTCATTGCTGTAGCAGCACCCATGCTGGTTTTGCTCCATTTTCTCGTGTATCCCTCAAGCGTTATCCTTTGGCCTTAGTCGCTTTCGCACTCCTTCACAGTCGCCTGTATCGTTGGCTCTTTTGTTGTCTCCTTTGCATCGCGTTTAAACGAATTAATTAAAAAATTTTGTTGACATCGCTTTAATTGAATAATAAAACAACATCATCATTATATAAGAATAAGGGATTTATTATGAGGCATTTAAGTTATGGCGTTTTTGCTTTTTATGTGCTGAGAATGCGCGAGTTTATTCACATTTCCCATTGCCCTTACACACACTTGTGTTATTATGTATTCGAATTTGTTCGGGTAATTCAGGAATTGTCTTCCGTAATCTGTTACCAACAAACCTCGTAACTCTACTGCTTTAATTATATATATGTATAAATTTTTCTCTCGTTGTCTGCCTGACGTTGGCTGCCTTGAGATATCAGGTTGGTCGTATTTTTCACCGGAAACCTGTTATTTCATTAGATGCTGCGATCTCTGGCACTCTGAGAAACGTTATATTGAAAAAAATCACGTAAGGGAATTACTTTGCCTATAACCTCGTCAGGTAT